ATGGGTGTTTGATTTTTAGTAGGTAATTTGTTTTTTTTTTCCCCCCAAGATGGCAAACCTTCTTCTCCAAAGGAGTGCTTCCAGGAGCAAGGGGAGGGACTTCCAGTGGCAAAGGTCAGAAGTTAGGGGTAAGAATTCCAATCCCAAGATGGCCACCAGGGGGCAGGGCACCCATCAAGGGGCGGGGCTACCCATTTGACCCTTGACAGCTTGTCAAAAGTTGGTAAGCAGCCTTCCACCCAAAATAATTGCTCGCCCTTGGGCTATATCTACTTTAAAATAAAAGTGCAACTGCAGCTGACATAGCCATACCCAACCTAGGTTTCAGCCAGGTAGCTTGGATACTACTAGCATCATAGCCACAGCAGCACAGAGTTGAGTGCAAGCTGCACAGCCCACCTAAGAAGCTAGAGAAATACTTCAGTAATTAGCCCATGTTGAGCTCCATGTTGCCATGGCTAGGCTTCTAGCAGTACCTGAGCTAAGTAGTTTATAACTACCTTGGAAGTGTCTACACAAGCTTAAGGGTATACTTAAACCTTCATAAGGTGCAGAGCCTACATCACAATGGCTTCAGCCTGGAATATCCTAACACACCCTGCTAGTCAAGCATCATATGCTCTCTATACCTCTTGCCTCTTCTTTTAAATCCATCTTATTCCTTCTAACAAACGCATAACACTCTCTTATATTATCTCAAACTTCCCACGCACCACGTTCTCCCCCCCACTTTCTACACCTCTGGTATGCACCCTGTACAACACACCAGAAGTGAAGACTTGCTCAGATGAATGTTGGCATGATGACAGGATATGCAGAAAAAGACCGTGCTGATTATTTCCTGCTGGTTTATGCTCTTCTAATCAGGAACATTCTGCTTTTGCAGGTGAACAACACAGAATTTGTTAAAGCTCTAACAGTACAAGAGTATCTTGCCATCATCCTATTTATAAATCTGGACCTGCTAGTCTTAATTAAACTTTCCAATTCCTAAAGAGCACCTTCCAGCCTAATATCTACTGTGGATGGCTTGTCAGGGGCTCTAAGTGTCACTGACATGAGTTAAATATTAGATTAAAAATAATCCCGCATAAAAAATATGCATTGTGACATATCATTGTGCATCATTTTTGTCAGACCAAATGTTGCCATCCACCACCCCTGCTTTTATTATACACCATTATTCATAAATCTGAACCTTCTCAAAGACAAGAGCATATTCAATGGATGAATGGCAGACTTATTGTATTTTTAGATAACATGTCAGTTGAGATAATATACTTTTGTGCTTACCAGTTGTGACACCATGAACAACTCCTTCCTTGGTCCTGGAACCTACAGAAAAAAGAATCACTTTACAATGAAGCTTTTGTTATTTTTGCTACTACCTATCTGTAAATAAGTACAAAGAAAGTGGGGTATGGGAACACAGTAAATATTTCTATTTTAATAAATCATATCATAGTTCCCCATAAGATTCTTAAAATTAATTCAAATTGGGTTTGATATATACACAGGCACAAGAAGTAAAAATTGCTCAAAGAACTATCAATAAAGAATGAAAATAAATGACCACACATTGAGAGGTGCATGACAGAGCATTTGAGGCATTAGTGTAAGGTCTATCCCTGCATAACAATTTCACTGGTGTTCTAGCAAATGGTACTGTTAAGTAAGCACCTGGTCCTGCAAAGACCTATGCATTTGAACAGCTTTGCTCATCTGCATATTCCTACTGAAGTCAATGGAACTTCTTTGTATAAATCTGTGGAAGTTCAGGGCGCAGGGTTTGCAGATGTTACTTACAACCCAGTCCTCCTGTTCTTATTCTGATCTTTAATTGGAAGAGGATTGCTAGTATCACTGAAGGCAAAGAAATAATAGAGAAGGACTTAGAGAAATTAGAAATGTAGGCATGAAACACAGCTTGAAAAAAATGGAATGAATATTGGGAAAATGATCTGAGGATACAGTGAGAAGAATGATGCTGGAAAGCTGTTATGTTGATAAACACCTGGGGGAAAAAGTAGGTCATTATAGACTTAGTATTAAACCCGAGTGTGCAGTTGTAGAAAAACAGGGTTGGAAAGGATCTCAAGAATCTAACCTGTTCAAGACAGGATCATCCCAGATATTTGTCTAACTTGCACTTATATTTCTAAGGATGAACATTCCACAGCTTCTCATAGTAATCTATTCCAGTGCTTAACCAACTACTTTGGATTTAGAAGTTCTTCTTAATATTTAACCTAAATCTTCCATGTTGCAATTTAAGTCCCTTAGTGGAGACAGATTAATCAATGACTAGCTTCTTAATAACAGCCCTTTCTATATTTGAAACTCCCTTCTCAAATTCCCTTCTCTAACCTAAATAATCCCACTTCTTCCAACCTTTCCTCAGACGTTATGTTTTACAGACTGCAAATAATTTTTGTTGCTTTCTTCTGGACTTTTGCTAATTTGTCTGCATCTAAAAGTGGAATGCTCAAAGCGGGACACAGTGCACCAAGTAAGGCAGAACTAGTGCTGAACAAAGTAAAACAATCATGACTTCTCATGACTTTCATATGACACTATGGTTATTACACCCCTGGGTGCTATTAGAATATCTCTTTTCTTGTGTGCAACAGTGTGAGGAGGCAGCCCCAAAGACCAAGACCAAACTGATTCTGAGATGTATACGCAAATATTTAATGATCTTTAAGGAAAATATCTTCCATGAGAAACTAAATGGGTTTTGTTCCTATTGATTACCGCTAGCTTCAGAGAGTATATAAGCACATCAAAACCCAGAGGACTTGAAAAATCCCATGCATGGTGGGGGGTTTTCCCCCATTCTAGACTTTTGCTTATTTAATTTTATAACTTAGCCACTTTTGAAGGCCATGTGAACATCTATGAGCAATACCTACAATGTTTAACTATTTCCTGTGCACAGAAATGGTACATAAGTCATCCTGTTAACCATTTATTACAATGCCATTGCAATAGATTTAGAAGAGACACAGCGAAATTTTAATTATTTCCTCATTTTGCATACTATTGTAAGAAAACAATCTGTATGGAGTGATAAGATTTATACATCTAGTTATATTATCAATTCAAATGATACTTTTCATCACTGTACACAGTGTGTATGTGTGTAGACACACACCCTCTATGTAGCAGAATAAGAACTGTTTTAAATAAGAGAAGAAACTGTGTCATGTAAAATGACTTCCCACTTTTCATACTGCCATAAACTGGCATAGGAAATAAAGATGCCGCTGCTTTGAAGAAGATTGGCTGTCTGTGTAAATTAGGTAAATAGCTGGTGAAGTAAGCATACAGTGAAAAAATAGTTTTCTGACCTCTTTATATTTATTTTCAAGTTATGAAAGGAAAAATACTAGTTTGTATCCTTTAACTGCAAATATTCATGTCTTCAAGTATTTCGTGTTGCCCAATTAAAACTTAAGGCAGTAAATGTCTTTTATCATGTAGAGGTTAATTTTAGGCCTTCAATACTCAGTTCCACAAGGTGCTTAGACAATCTAGCTCTAACTGAGAAAACCACTTAACACATATCCTTATCTTTAAGTATGCAGAAAGATACACTGACCTTTACAAAGAGCCTAAAAAGCTATTTGTTGGCTTAAGTGTGACTACTCACCTGCTTAAAATTTGCTAGATTAAGGTTAGAAATCTTAGCATCTTGATGGATTTACTTTCAGCTGCCAGAGTAAATAGAACAAGACAGTGATACATGGCTGCAGTACTGGGGTAGGGAGACAGGGAGGTATAGCAGCAGAAAACCCTCACAAATGAACTCTGGATGTCTTCTGCCCTGCAGATATCTTCAAAGCGGTCACTTGCACTGGCCTAATGCAGGTACAGTTCTACTGAATTCAGAATAGTTAGTCCTGATACACACTATTGTCAGTGAGAGAAGAATTGTGTCTAGGCCATCATTGATCATTGGGTTTGTACTAAATGCAAATTTTTAGAGTCAAAGGGCAGCAGAGGCAGTATATAGTAAGCACTTAGGCTGCTTAGACATGAAAAAACAAAACAAAAAACAGTGCTTTATTTTCAGTTTGAGCCCCCATGCCAAGCACACTTCATGTCCACAAGATGTACTGTGTTAATTTGACCCACCTCATCCAACATCTGTATAGATCAGGTGCTTCAGCAGGTTTTTTTGGTACTTTTATCTGCTAGCTAATTAAATCAAAAAGCCCCGCTGAAGGGCCTAATCTATACAGAAGCTGGGGACCCAGGTTAAACTAATGCACTTCCTCTTCCGGTAAAGCACTAGTTTTGATTGGGGGGGGGGGGGGGGGGG